TATCAGCGTCTAAGAGCTCGTAGACCTACGTACTGCCGGAGAGCTGCGAAGCAGCAAGTTGCTGCTAGCAACGAGCCATTTCCTAAGTGACATTTCGGGGCATCCAACAGAATACCGTAATTGAGGCTCTCATCAAGCTTTGATATCCACCGTGGATATCATAGCTCAAGGAGAGTTCGTGGATAATCCACGACACCATGTTTGAAATGCACGTACCGTACTCGAGTCAGACACCGTATTGACTCAAGACTCTTGAGGGCAACTCATTCCAATGGGGAGCTCCAGTGCGATCAACAGCAGATAGCGAGGGGAAGCATTCTATATCGAAGAATCCCTTGGGTACCTGAGGTTACCTCAGTGAGGTACTGAAAAGCCTCAGTACCTCAGATATATATGAGGACTCCTCCGTGGCATCGACTAGCATTCCCAGTGCCACCGTCCCGAAAATCAAAGAGTCTTTTGCATACCCCGTCATTTTGGCGAGATGAGAATTCTCGAGAATAATGAGGGACACGACTCGGCCTTATTCTTTCTCGGTCTCGTTCTCGCGAGATTTCGCGAGATTTCGCGGCTGTACCTACGTAGTACGTACGTATGGTGATGTACTCGTAGGTACATCACCTACGTACTCGTAGGTGATGTACGTACGAGCGGTGATTTACCAGTGGTAAACCACCACTCGTAGGACTAACTTATGAGGTTTGCGATGTACAGTAGGCTTTCTGCTATGACTTTCGCAGCCGTGCTGTCACATGTTGGAGACCACACATGGCTATTTCTATTGCGTCAGTATCCAACGATAAGTGTCGCGTTGATGGTATAAACTTCATTCGATATGGATGACGGTGGTTGATAATCACTGGTTACGGGGATATCAATCATATTAAAACTGATTATCAGACTCATCTTCCTAGAATATAAATCCTAGTGAGGTTGTTCATGAGCCCGGCCGATTCAGCTGCTGTTGTTTTGGAACGAACGTTAGTCACGCAAGCTCCGCTGTCTGAGTTCTGCCAGCGTATGGTGAAGATGAAGTGTTTCGAGTTACTCATTGATAATAATAGCTATTATTATTAGGTGTTATATCAGGGGTACGTATACTGAGACTTGTATGCTTGAACTATGCTAGTGGAGGCTAACGATGTCATATCTGTGGAAGAAGAGCCTGGGTGCAATGCAGCGTCCCTTCCTATTGGCACCCAAACGGCAATTGTAGTATCAAACACAAGCCCGTGTGTGTCACCACCATTGGTGGAGATATTAATAATATTGCAATCAGCATACAATGGGGTTTTTAACGTAGTTTACAATGGGAGTTACTCAGCTTATATTCTGCCATTGCCATAACGACAAGCTGCCATCGGCACACCCTGTTACGAAGAGATTCGTGTTAACTACAACGGGAGAAATGCAACATGCCGGGATCGAACCCAGGACCTCACCGATTGACTTCACAATACGGACATCTGCATTCCTTCTCTGCATAGCTGTCGTCCACCACACCAGTGGATTCAAAGTGGGCAGACTATACGCTCGTACACTACCGTTCATTTGCCCGACCAATACTGAGAAAAAAATTCCAATATTGACACTCATTTACCAATTTCGAAAATTCCAATAGCAGTGTTGGAAAATTTGCACATTGGTCAACCACATGTGTTGGTGACAATATGGAAATTCTTACCGGTTTCCTACCCGAATTCGTATATAAACTTCTATAATTAATGAGGAAACGTCTCAACTCAGCTGAGGAAAACGAACACATATTCCTCCAAAACTTATCAAAAATATTGGTAACTTCACATCGATCATTTTTTCCGTGTCGGAAGTAGCAGAGAGCTGTCACGGAGTATATTATGTATTTGCCCTAGAAAAACATAATAATGGAGTTTCACTCTAGTGATATGAAAAACACTAGTGAAAAACATATTTCACGACTACTACAGGCCGCGAATATCGCGTTTTTCACCGAGTTTTACGCCACTTCACGTAAAACGGGTTGTTGTGAAACTCCAATGCAATCCCCCCCCCCCTTTGAAAAATTCCCCATTTAGACTCACACGCCGCTTGGCCGTTTATCACGACTCCGTCAAGACAGGAATTACAGCAAGGCTTTCGTAATTTCTCACCATTGTTATTGTAGTGTAATGCACAGTCCATGCTGGCAGTTTCATTACCACTGAGAGAAAAATGTCGCGCGCCACGAAATTGTTACTAATGCTACTACTACTTTGGATCGAACACGAAGAGTTTTCCATCCAATGTTATGGCCACTACGTGATTCTCGTAACTAAAAAATGGACCTATTCCGTATCTTACGAAGAGTAACCTAAGATACGCCCTCTACTACATTAACATATTCATAACTGGACTTTGAGTGTCGATCCTCCCCTGTATGGTGAGGTCCATTATACTAATACCAGTAATACCACACACACCGCCAATCCACATAGTTTGCTCTGCTATCTGAAAAAAATAACAACAACATCATCATTTATATATCATTGATGATATTCTTCGCTGTAGGATCGTTACATGCGCGTGTTAAGCGAAGTTGCTTCTGAAAGTTGGTGGACCCGCGGTTCGAATCCCAGACTCGGTACTTTTTATACAAAAATGCTTTCTTGGTACAGTATGGAAATTTAACATATTTTTCTACATACGACTGATTCTTTCGCCGTGTGTTTCTGGTGTAAAGGAATAGTTCGTACGCACAAAATGCAATACCTAGCACCGCTTCGCTCAAGCAGTCCACAGTAACACCGTTTCTATGATAATCGCCGCCCCCCCACCCAGAATTAACCCTAGATTTCGTCAGAGTTTCAATATCATCACCAACACACATAGTTGATCATGTGCCCATTTTCCCACACTGGCTGAAGCCACTTCCACTATCGTCGTCGGTATTACCGTCATGCATTTAACTGGATATCCGATCTCTATCGTATGAGTATTCTGATAAGTCCCTTCTTTAGGTGTCCACAACCGTACCGTACCATCCCACGACGAAGTTACCAGTATCTATACATAGTAGCAGTCTACTAGGGTTAGTCACACAGTACTACTACCCCTTGCAAAACCCCTAAACTGTGTACAGCTTTACCATGGCCGACCAGATCGAACTGTGCACCAGTCGATTTGTCAAATCTGAGGTGATAACGCTATCTCTAATACCACACCACGAGGAAATTACACTCTAACTCGACCGTCTTGCAAACCACAGAACATAACTCCACCACCGGCCTCGTCACGGGCGGGTTCGAAGTAGACGGACATCACGGGCTGACCGTCTGTGTCAACGATAAGGTCCGGGGTCAATTCGATATGACCTAAATAAAGGGGGAATATGCATTAGTATAATTTTCAAAAATTTCATCGAAAATATCCATGCTGTTCCAACGAGATTGTCAGTCGTCCGATTCGGTCTCGTAATATTACTCATTGGGAATTTCGTGGAAATTTCGGGACATTTTTGTAGGTTTCTGTATATTATTAGTGAAAATAAAATAAAATTCTTCTATCTGAATTCGTATAAAAACCTATATGGTTAGCTTTAAAAACTCTTCTGAGCTCAGCTGAGGATATTTTCCTACTCCAGCACTATATAGGGAAATCAGTCTTACTTACCGGCTGGTGTAGGAACTGCTTTCCATGTTCGCAATTTACCATCGGAGCCACCTGTGGACCTGTTTTGTATCTTACCAAGGGAAAGCTAAGATACTACCAGTGAAAAGAGTATCTCCAATGAGGATAACATCATTGATCGATTTCCCATCAGAATGGGCATCAACGACTTCGTGTAATCTCTTCACATAGTGAAGGAACCTAAAGATATTTTTCGTGCCCAGGCGGACCTCCACGGATGAGGTACCTGCAATCGGCGCCGCGTTGGCAGTCTCCCGTCATGAACGCTCGACATGCCATAATACGGACATCCTCTTCACATAACGGGGGTGGCCCTGGAACCGGGGGTGGTGACACTCTGTGGTGACACTAAGATTATTACGGTCTTCTTCTTTGACGGGTCCACGACGTCCCTTGCCGTGTATTGGGCCTCTGAAAGGTCCTCGACCATGAGCAGTACCACCCCGAGCTGAAGTGAAGTAATTCGGAAGGGTGTGGTATTGGTGGTGTTGTTATTATTACGTCGATGCTTGATGTTGCCTCCGCGAGGTCCGCCCATTAATTTATTAATACCAAATTTCCGTGAACAAATGTGTAATTACATGACCACACTGTCTATACTACCACTCCACATATACAGTAATCACACACGTGTCTGCAATGCTACATCGTACGTTTCCCAATATGGACAAGGTAACATAAACATGGTAGCAAATCGATTATCGGGGCGAGCGCCAAATAAACTGAGCACGTACGGGGTGATTTGCATACATAGTTGTGTTTGTGATGTTGAAATGATCTGGAGAGGACACATTTGGAATTTTACACGCGTACACAGAAAACAATTTTAAATTATTTTTTCGATGTAAGCGCTATCAGATTAGGAACATATCCCCTACTGTTATAAAATGCTGGGGACTCCAATTTTCCACCACTGGTTGGTATAGTGGAGTTTAACAGCAACCCGTTTTACGTGAAATGGCGTGAAACTTGGTGAATACCGCGATATTCGCGGTGATATGCAGTAGTCGTGAAATATGTTTTTCGTATCACTAAGGTGGTGAAACTCCATTATCAGGAGTCGTTGAAAGCAAGGCTATATGGAATGACAATTTAATTTCGATAATGAATATTTCTATATTGCGTATATATTGAATATTCCTAAATTTAATTATTTTGTTCTTTTCGTGCGTTAGCAACAAAACATGGCTCATTTCAACGGAAATTTTTTCCAGAAAATTTGTGTATTTTTTTCAGATTTTACCATTGTAATTTTTTAACATATTTATCACATCCCTTCTAGAGCTGTATGCTGCTCATTAGTTCGTCATCGTCGTCAAGGCGATTCGCCGTTTCGGTGACTAGCAAAATCATAAACTCAGCAAAGGTGAGTGGCCTTGGGCTTTAGGGGTTGATAGCAAGAGTGGAATCATCTTGTAGGAAGATTAATATGCAAATATAATGGAGTTTCACAACAACCCGTTTCACGTGAAGTGGCGTAAAACTCGGTGAAAAGCGCGATATTCACACTATGCAGTAGTCGTGAAATGTGTTTTTCACTAGTGTTTTCATATCACTAGAGTGAAACTCCAATATGTGAGTTCTATAAATATAAATCTATGAAAATAAGAACAATATATAATTCTATGGAGTTTCACAACAACCCGTTTTACGCGAAGTGGCGTAATACTTGGTGAAAAAACGCGATATTCACGCAGTAGTTGTGAAATGATTTTTTTACTAGTGTTTTATTCATATCACTAGGGTGAAACTGCAATGAAGATAAGAAAAATATATATAATTTATGAAGACGAAAATAAGACGTAAATGTACTGGAATAGGAAAAATGGGGTTTCATGCGTTTTTCGTGAAGTGAAATGTGTTTTTCACCATCACTAGGGTGAAACTGGAATATATTAGCATATGAAGATAAGAATCATTCATAAAAATTGCCGAATGAATTTAGTAAAATAACTAGGCTTTCCATCACATAGTATTGTTACCATCATTATCACATAATTGTGTCGGCGGAGCGAAGCGAAAAAATGGTTATTATTTATCATCACAGTAGTAGATCATTGGAGTTTCACAGGCGGCCCTAGTGATATGAAAAACACTAGTGAGAAAAATATTTCACGATTACTACTGCATATCACCGCGAATATCGCGTTTTTCACATGGAGTTTTACGCCACTTCACGTAAAACGGGTTTTTGTGAAACTCCAATATTATCTTTTTTAGGTTCTCGCGGGTGTAGAAATGAGGAATAGTATATGTATTATTACAACTCGTACATCGACTTCTACTGGTGCTCCTGCAGATATCAAACCACCACTTGTGAATTTGAAAGTGAGTTGGTAAAGAATTTTCCCCCTTTCTTCAGCTGAGTTTGGAAGCTTACACAGGAATTCGGGTAGAAGTGTATAGAAAGCAATAAGAATTTCCTTACATTTTTTGAGCATGTTTTGGACCTCATTTGTATCTTGTTCAGGTGGCACGTCTAGTATCTTTGGATGCCAGAAACGAGGTCGTCGTTGGTGGTGGTCGTAGTAAAATGAATTTGAAAGCAGTTGCCAGAGACTATTGGGTGAGGGGACTTCTCAACCACCTCGTCGGTCACGTCGTCGTAAA